ACAGATTTTGTTGCATGCAGAACCACAAGCTTTATCCAACATAGGTTGCGAAAGAGTGAGTCAGAAAGTGAGTTTAGTTTTTACGCCGCTTTTAGCAATATTCCAGCAACATCACGGCGGGGGACACCAGAAATGGGCTTCACACGTTGTACCCATGTGGGAAATCGAACCCGGGTCTTCGGAGTGACGATAGAACGCTTCAACTACTAGGCAACTCCACCGCCCCTGTTGTGAAAGAAGGATACAGAAGAAAAGTAAACAAATAAATCGAAAATGAATTTTCGTTTGGTAATCACTCCTCCTCCCCAAAATGCATCATGTTCCAGTATTTATAATCTATTCAGCTATCAGGTGATTGACTGTCAACTGACTGGTAGTCTTTGAAAACACCGGACTGGTTCACTCAGAGTGAATTTGTGTGTCTGATGCCATATTACCGTACTACTTCCAAACAATGAACCTGTTCTCTTTGGATTTGGATTTGTTTGTTGTTTAAAGCCGCACCCAGAAATATTCCAGCTATATGGTGGCGGCCTGTAAATAAGTGAGTCTGGACCAGACAATCCAGTGATCAACATCATGAGCATCGATCTATACATTTGGGATACGATGACATGTGTCAACCAAGTCAGCGAGCCGGACCATCCGATCCCGTTAGTCGCCTCTTACGACAAGCATGGGTTACTGAAGATCAATTCTGACCCGGATCGTCACCGGCACCTCTTCTCTTATTCTTGGACTTAATTTTTAACACATGTTATAACAGCGTACAGATATGCTACTAAGGTTTTGAAAGGTTCATTCAGGAAGATCTCATTACTCACCAGACTCTCACCAGTTGGGATCACAAGTCACAATAATTTTCTATTCTTCCGAAACAAATACCAAAATTAATAAAACTTTAAGAGAAAACTAAATTGTCAAATGTCTTTCAGGGTGAGGAAGGCAGCTGCAAAAATGCATCAGTAGCCCACCACCAACATTTGACTTGACACTTAAGTCCGTAGATATGTCCATTCGTACTGGATGTCAAAACAACTCTGAAAGCAAATACCATCTAATGTATACTAAGAAAACACGATGAACTGTTGGACTTCCTCATTGAAAACATCTGCGTAAAACTGAGAGTTCACACATTGAGACATAAAGCAGGCACTAGACTAACGCTTAGTGTCTGAATATATACTCATGCCAATAATGGTTGTCACCCCCTCCCCCACCCCCCCACACCCACCTCACACCCCACCCCCACCCCTCTCCAATTAAAAAATTGAAGGGGGTGACAACCATATTGGCATGAGTATATATAGTTTTGATAGTAACAAACAAACCCATATAAATTGAAAAGGAGCCCCAGGGAGACCAGAGATTCAGAACCTGCATGAGGAAATATAGTCTTGCTTCATTTAGATATTTAGTATTGCAGAGAGGGCTAGGCTGCAGGGAAAATAATGTGGTTCAGGTACTGTGCGACCACATTGGCACCAATATTGTTCCTCTTTTAGCCGGTCTATGGCTTCATGCATATGACTTGATTGTCATTGCAAGGTATGTTGCCAAAATGGGTAACTTTAGTTTTCAAGTACAGAAGGATGACTTCAGCGTTGCAAAGGTCAGCTTTCCCTTTGTGTCAAGCAATGTGCTAGTGTCTCTAGCCCTGTCTTGCCACCATCTTTGGTGTCTATATTTCACAATTTTTAAGGAAAATTGACTCGCCTTGTCCCGTGTTTGTGATGGTGCCGCCAGTCGGGCAGGATAAGCGAATCATTTTGCGAACTCTAATAAAGCTTCATAAACATATCGATATGCTCATGCTATACAACTCTTGTCAAAATGGAAAAGTTTGGTCACTTTTGTTCACACCTTTGGAGCTAAATACATATACTCATGGAAACGAATAAGGGAATAAATGAAAGTACAAGTGTTTCTTTATTCTTTTTCAGAATTTCACCCACAGTACAATGCAAAGCTTGTGAAGAAACCTGGAAAAGAATAAAGGAACACTTGTACTTTCATGTAATCCCTATTCGTTTCCATGAGTATATATACTATTTTTTTATGGTTGGAGTCGATGTCAACGTTCCGTGTCCATCATTCAACCGACAACATAGACAACGTTGTATATCCTACGTCGGTAACAGCACACGAGGCAGCAACGGTAACCTCATCGGTATCCTAGTATGGCCCTGGCGCTCGCTCTGCAGAATTAGTATCGATACATTTGAACTAAGTTTAACTCAAGTGACATTAATTAAAAGTTGAGTAAAATTCTACAAGGACGAGACACAAGAGCGTCGATCTGTCGGCTACGGTCCAATCCAATCTTCCCTGCCTCACATGCTGTCAGTACATGGACGTATCTGGCAATTATCAGGGTGTAGTACATCACAGCATGGGGGCTGCATGTCCTACATAATGCCACTATTTGAGGAAAATCAAATTAACTTCCATCTCAATACCATCAGCGGTGAGAGAAACGAGCAATCGCTATGACCATGCCTCTGAGTTCAGCATCAAGGACAAGGTTTGACAGTGACACGATTACCCCTTAAAACCTTTCCCCTGTCAGAGTGCTTCCTTATATGGTTTGTCGGGGTGTTATTCTTCACCTTAGAGGGGCGGTGGGGTAGCCTAGTGGTTAAAGCGTCCACTTGTCACGTTGAAGACCCAGGTTCGATTCCCTACATGTGTACAATGTGTGAAGCTTATTTCTGGTGTCCCCGCCGTAATTTTGCTGGGATATTGCTATAAGCGGCGTAAAACCAATGTCACTCACTCACTCACTTCACCTTAGTGACAACTATTCAAGCTCTGGTCCACCATGATGTAATGGACAAAATGTGCTTAACTTTAGTGTCTTTTTAAAACATGACTTACAATATAGTTTTGAAGCAATATAGCCAGTTAGGAAAAGATGTTTATTTGACATTATCAGTTCAATGAGGTATATTCTCAGTTACCAGTTGCGTACGTTTATCATACTAAAATAACCTGGATCCAATTTGAATTCAGGTAGCGACGTAAATGTGAAAAGAAACGAGAAGTGACCATGAAATATGTGTTACAAGATGACACGTGAACATAACCCAAAAATGGGTATGTACAGAGCAAACTAAATGACCACACAAGAGCAATGAGTATAAAATAAACAATATTCAAACACAAATTTAGTAATAAGTAACAGGTGCTATCATAGGCACTCACCGATGTCCAAGGCTTTGTCACTTTGTCTTACATCAAGCCTGTGTTGTTTCTTCAAACAAGAATAACGTTAGCAATAACTTGATGGTCTGAAATAGGTACTATGTAATCCACATGTTGCATGTAGCAACGCTACAGCTCAGCTCTTAATAAAGCAGAGTCGTCCTATTATCGCCCTCAAATACGTACAGCTGGCCTTCTAGAAATATCCCAATCCCGAAACTTCACGAGCAATCAAGCCTTATGTTTGTGAACAACCAGGGGCAGTAACTCTAAACTCCCCTCACACGCTCCAGGATTTTTCACAGACGTTTAAATCACTACAAATATACACACAACAATGAAGTATATACGGCAAGGTAGTTCCAACGTTGTCAACACCAGGTATAACAGCACTGGGGACACTGATGATGACGAGTGCAGGTTGATATCTGAACCAGTGTGCAATGTATGAGTGAGTGAGTGATTGAGTTTAGTTTTACGCTGAACTCAGCAATATTCCAGCCATTGGGCGGCGGTCTGTAAATAATCGAGTCTGAGCCAGACAATTGTGCAATGTTTAAGTCATACAGTAGTCGAATATGAGAGTAGGATTCGTGGATTTAATGGCGCTTGTTCCTGACATTCTTCGAGAATGGTCTTATTTTAGGCCATTGTGGACACCATACAAGGTTCAGCTTGGCTAGTCGTGTCGCTCAAGCTAAGGTGCTGATTATGAGTTTATTTTCTAAGTGGCCGAGAAAACCTATATACGATCCTATGAATTTACACCAGATTTCTTAGTACATGGAGGACGGTGGGGTAGCCTAGTGGTCTTGCTGAAGACCCGGATTACCACATGGGTACAATGTGTGAAGCTCATTTCTGGTGTCCCCCGCCGTGATATTTCTGGAATATTACTATTAGCGGCGTAAAACTAAACTCACTCACTACTGGTTAAATTGACCTCTCGTCAAAGACTCGGGTTCAGTTCCCCATATAGTGTCAATTCCCTCCGTGATAATGCTAAAAGCAGCGTTAAACCATACTCACTCACTGCACATAGCCAAGTTGATTTAAAACATTTACATATTACCCCCTATGAAAGAAGTCGCCGAACACAGTTTTGTCAGTGCCCAGCATGTGCAGTGTTTGGTGTAAAAATTATTGTCTTCTTGTATAATATTTTTCAAAGACATCCCGCCCAGGGACGTATCGCCGAGGAGGACTTTAGCATACCAAGTATGAAGCCTCACACGAGGAATCCATGCGGGGCCGATCTTACTGGTGAGGTGAAATTGGGTTTAACGTCGTCCCTGAGAATATTTCGCTCATATGACGACGTGCATGCGTGGGTATGTGTAAGTGCGGCTGCTTGTACTAGCCCAGACTGAAGCTGGTTTTATAGTGCTAGCCCACTGAGATACCATGCCACAGTGAAGCATGAATACCCCACTCAGACACATTATACTCCGAGCCGACCAGTCCTTGTTGGACCCATTAATGCAGAGCGCCAGGCAGGGACCAACAGGTACCATATTTTAACGTCTTTTGGTATGACGCGGTCGGGGATCAAACCCGCGACCTTCCGCTCTCCAGGCGGACGCTCTAACCACTACACCACGGAGGCGGTGGCAAAGTTTCAAATTGGATCAGAATTCTGAGAGCAAATTTAAGCAAGACCATAGCCTAGATCATATTTGCAAAGTGACCTTGTGCTTTCAAAGATTAACGAAAAAAATAAACAGACCTGACCCAGTCCTTGTTCTCTATTTCAAGTGAGCTACAAAATACAGATTCCAAAAACAGTTTGAGGCAGTCTAGATTCTGACCTGTCCCTCTGTCCTACTGTGCAGTCTCAGGGCTGCTATGACAGAAAGGCTTGGAGACTCCTGATTGCTGTCTGTCTTGGCCTGGAGAACTGGGACGGCCATGTTGCCTCCTTCCTCGGCCACAGAAACACTGCAAGAATCAACACCCAAACATTCTACATGTTATTATGTTGCACTTCATTCATGCCCTAAAACACTATAACCTTGATGTTGGGGCAGAAGGGTTCGATTCCCTGTATGGATACAATGTGTGAAGGCCATTGCTGGTGTCCCCAGCCGCACCCGTGAAGATCCGGGGTAGAATAGGTCTTCAGTAACCCATGCTTGCCACAAAAGGTGACTATGGTTGTTGTAAGAGGCAACTAACGGGATCGGGTGGTCAGGCTCGCTGACTTGGTTGACACATGTCATCAGTTCCCAATTGCGCAGACCGATGCTCATGCTGTTGAGCACTGGATTGTCTGGTACAGACTCGATTATTTAAAGACCGCCACCATATAGCTGGAATATTGCTCACTGGTGTCCCCCGCCAGTATAAAAGTGGAATAAAACTAAACTCACTCACTCACTGGTGTCCCCCGCCAGCATAAAAGCGGACTAAAACTAAACTCACTCAGCCACTAGGATAAGTGTTAATTCAAATTACATTAGTCCTTATGCAACATAGATGGATGGTCTGCGTTCAAGCTTTCATTGATACTTCATTGTGGGTAGTCACGATATGGCTGAAATATTGACGATGTGACGTTAAATTTTAACTCACTCACCAGGTGTTAGAGGCATGATACTAGGTCACTAGGAAGCACTACAGGTACTCAGGTTCTGCAAACAGTTTCAACAACTACCTACATATATTACTTTCTACAAGTCCCCGGGAACCTGGGTACAACCCAGATAGACGTTGTTTTGCCAACATTGCCAACGTTGGGCCAATGTCCGAATGCTATCTGGGACTGACTGACTGACTGAGTTTGGTTTTACGCCGCTTTTAGCAATATTCCAGCAACATCACGGTGGGGGACACCAGAAAATATGGGCTTCACACATTGTACCCATGTGGGGATTCGAACCCGGGTCTTCGGTGTGAGCCAACGCTTTAACCACTAGGCTACCCCACCGCCCCCTGCTATCTGGGAAGGACACACCCTGCATACTACCATCTGATCCACCTAGTAGCATCAGGTTTGGACTAAAGCAAACCAGTGGTTGATATTATGAACAACGTCCTACTTTAAATGATACCATGATGAGCAATCAACCAAGTCACCAAGCCTGACCAGTGATTTAGCAGCATTAGTGAGTGAGTGAGAGTTTGCAATATTCCCACAATATCCGCGGTGGGGACACCAGAAATGGCCTTCACACATTGTGCCCATGTGGGGAATCGAACCCGGTCTTCGGAGTGACAAGCGAAGTGCTTTAAGCACTAGGCTACCCAGCAGCATTAGTAGCATAACCAAGACTGGACCAGCCAAACCCGTGATTGATATTACAAACAACTCCCTATTTCATCATGGTACAATGATGCTAATCAGCCAAGTCACTGCGAATGACCACTTATCACATTATTCATTTAGTATGATAACCAAGGCTGGACTGGACAAACCAGTGGTTGATATGAGGACCATAACATGCATGCAAGGGACAATGATATGCATTCAAGAAAGTCTGTCTACCAAATCCATTTTGCTGCCTTTATAACAAATATAGGACGCTGGATCTCTGTTGTCAGTTGAAATGTTTGAAAGGGTACTGTAAAACAATCTTCTTCTTTCATAATGATAGGTTTTGTGATAAATAGTCCTGTGTCACTATCTATTATGGCAATGACATGTTTCTACCTGTGGTGAATGACCTTGGTTTCAGGAGAAAGGCGATCACTCTCCAACTTGATAGGTTTCCTTCTTGAAAACATCTGCCTGATGTGATTCTTGATGAGGAAACTGCAGATGACCTCAAAGGCAAACATACGACCTTCCTTAGCCTCCCAGGAGAGAGTCTGTGAATCTGGATACAAAATGAAACTTGGTTCTATAGCAGAGGCAGCAAAGATAATTGGCATGGCTGGAACCCCATGGTTAGAGTCAATTGTTGATTTGGATCAGCAATTACCTTTAAACCAGTATGTACTCAAAAACAATGTTTGTGAAAAACAATATACTGACTGACTCACTGAGTTTGGTTTTACGCCGCTTTTAGCAATATTCCAGCAACATCACGGCGAGGGACACCAGAAAATATGGGCTTCACACAATGTACCCATGAGGGGATTCGAACCCGGGTCTTCGACGTGCCGAGACAACGCTTTAACCACTAGGCTACCCCACTGCCCCAAAACAATATACACTAGAAGTCAAGAAGAAGAAGCAGTGCTTGTGGGATATAGTTCTGAACCATGCATTGCTATTGTGATGTAAATTATATAGAGAATCTCACTCAAGTGTCTTCTGTTTTAAATATATCAACACGAGTTGATTAAAGTTACAAATATCCAACTCTTGCCTAGGATATTTTTACTGTAATCAACAAGTGTTGAAATATTTGATATCAGAAGACACGAGGGTGAGATTTTATTTATCATCCAAAATCATTCTTCATCAGTTATCAGTAAAATTGCGATATATTGCGATGCAAAAGCATGTATTGCAATGTGTATTGCAATATATTGCAAGATGTTTTTATTACCAAAAAACTACTTATAATCGAGCTAATGTTTGATTTATAAAGCAAAACCACAACAAAATCACTATGCTTGATTCACTTAATAAAAACATTTTATGACGACAAAGTAGAAATGTAAATAATATTTGGCACAAATGACACAAGGAAAAGAACTTAACAATCCAGTTAAATGTAATTTTCACCACAATCATTCCCACCACCCTTACCACAATTTCCACAATCATCAAGATTTCCGAGTGTTAGGAAGTTTTCGGAATGCATGTAAATATACCGGTTTTCGATCAGTGTATCAGAATACGTATCGTCTTCATGTGTGAACCGGTTATATTGCGCAGCCCTATTGAGCAGTGATCCCAGTGATCCCAAAACTTTGTGAGGTCACTCACTGACGATGTATTACCATCATGACAATTCAATTGTTGCAATATCTACAATGTAGATATTTACTGTGGGAGTCAGTTTTGGATGACAAATGTTCTTTGTCAGCTACAGATAAAGCCAAATTTCAACAACTTTATTCTTTTCAAAACATGACATTTTTCAATCATAGTTTCTGCCAAAATTATATTGTCACACACACTTTGAATCACATTGTACAACCTGGATTAAACATGACATTATTTCTAAATGACTTAAGACAGTTAAAGACATTAAATTTAATTCGTATAACTATTAGCTCCAGCAGTGATCCACATGCAAAATCAGCCGTTTCAATCTAAGGTGGTTTTTGAGATTTAATACCTGACCAATCAGAATCAAGTATTTCCTACATAGGTGAGGTGAGGTGAGGTGAGGTGAAATTGGGTTTAACGTCATACTTGAGAATATTTCACTCATATGACGACGTGTATGTGTATGTGTATGTGCGGCTGCTTGTACTAGCCCAGACTGAAGCTGGTTTTATAGTGCTAGCCCACTGAGATACCATGCCACAGTGAAGCATGAATACCCCACTCAGACACATTATACAGACTCCAAGCCGACCAGTCCTTGTTGTACCCATTAATGCCGAGCGCCAGGCAGGGACCAACAAGTACCATATTTTAACGTCTTTTGGTATGACGCGGTCGGGGATCGAACCCGCGACCTTCCGCTCTCCGGGCGGACGCTCTAACCACTACACCACGGAGGCGGTCCATTTCTTAAATAACGGTTGAATCCTCTTATTTATTTATTTGTCATTACAATAAGTAACTTGACTCCAAACCGAAGACCATTTTTCTGCTGACAATGCTGCAATGACGCACATTACATTTACACATACATAACACGATCTGCTTTCCCTATCTCAGGTCTTCACAAGACTGACAATGATGGTTTATTGCAATGGTGATGACATCTCCTTCCTGCCCCCTAGAAACAGTCTCACATTGACTTGTCGCAACACAGAGCTACAGACTGTATAGTGCTTTCCTAATCGATTCCATATCCAAATCCGCATCGTAATTTATATGCTTGAACTAAATGCACACATAATGATCTAATGACAAATGCAACCTGACTTGTCTCCTAAACTAATAAGGTCAAATGTAACTCAGTATCTTCTGCTAGGTGATCTCATTTGATTATTGATTATACTGACTGACTGAGTTTATTTTTAGCAATATTCCAGCAATATCACGGCGGGGGACTCCAGAAATGGTCTTCACACATTGTGCCCATGTGGGGAATCGAACCTGGGTCTTCGGCGTGACGAGCGCACGCTTTAACCACTAGGCTACCCTACCGCCCCTTATTGATTATACACCAAGGTTACCAAGCTGAAGTATCACACCAGTAACACTGTCCAATATCTTTACCTGGTGCTGGAGCTCCATCACACATAGACGTGGTCCAGCCTTCAGTCAGGGTGTGCAACACCTGGCACAACAACACAACATTCTCACTGGATTTCTGGACTGAAACACAACACATCAGACATATCACCTACATGCAGTGTTTGAAATAAAGCATGGAAGTCAAGGAGTCAAGGTAAACATTTGAATGATACATGTCAACCAAATCTGTTGGTGAGTCAAACGTAGCAGTATCTGACGGTGAAAAGCATTGGTGAAAAGCATTGGCAAAAAGATTAAAAGTAGCATACAGTTACTTAGGGAGGTATTCTAGCCATATGGCAATTGGGATACGATGGCATTTGTCAACCAAGTCAGCGAGTCTGACCACCCGATCCCATTAGTCGCCTCTTAAGACAAGCATGGGTTGCTGAAGAAAAATTCTAACCCGTATCTTCACGGGTCTATGTCTTGATGAAGACATCCTGGACTATACTTACCCAAGAGTTTGAAGACGGAGCTAGCTGACTGACGTACAGAGGATGCAGGGTGAGCCAGGTGATGGAGGAATGAGGAGAGGTAAGCACCCCAACATGGCAGCAGAGAGGGCAACGACAGACTCTGTAACAGGGGAGACAACTCAGGGATAGAGAAGCCTGGATAATCTGGACATGCAACCCTGTTTATCTGGACAAAACCCTGTTGATCTGGACATGAAACCTGGTAATGATTAAAGGCTGTTACGATTCACTCGCATATTCAGTGAATCGAACCGTAGCCCTTCATGAATTCAATTCGTTATTCGTGGCCACCAGAACCGAATATTCATGAATATTTACAATTTTTTTAAAGGTGTCCGTTTGACTTGAACCCTTATGTCCTTTTTCAAAATGAGATATGCAAGAATGAAATATGTACTAGCCTTGTAGTACCGCAAGTCATGTTAGTTTTCCAAGGCCGCACGGACCACCTCCGTGGTGTAGTGGTTAGAGCGTCCGCCCGGAGAGCGGAAGGTCGCAGGTTCGTTCCCCGACCGCGTCATACCAAAAGACGTTAAAATATGGTACTTGCTGGTCCCTGCCTGGCGCCTGGCATTAATTGGTAAAACAAGGACTGGTCGACTCGGAGTCAGTATAATGTGTCTGAGTGGGGTATTCATTATTCACTGCGGCATGGTATCTCAGTGGGCTAGCACTATAAAACCAGCTTAAGTCTGGGCTAGTACAAGCAGTCGCACATACACGTACACACGCATGCAAGTCGTCATATGAGCGAAATATTCTCAAGTACGACGTTAAACCCAATTTCACCTCACCATCACCAAGGCCGCACATGTTACTGTCAGCTATAACTATTAGATACCAAATTTGAGTGTCATGAGATCACTGGTTATTGCTGTGACAAATTAACACTGTCAACATGGGCATTCAATATTGTGCATCAATCACTTAACTTCAATATTGTATTCATGAATAATTATTTGTATTCGTTACCCAATATTCGTGATACGTATCATATTCGCCACATAGTGTATTTGTTACAGCCCTAGTAATGATACCTCAGTTAATGAGTACATTGAACTCTCTCGATCTGGACATGACACACTTTCAATTTATACAAAAAATACAGATAAGTGTATATAGCAAACCCTGTTAATCTGGACATGAAACAATTGATTTGGACATTATACAATAATAATGTCCCTTTGTAACTGTTGCCCACATCATATCCATATGGTAAGACTTTGGACATTCTGGATTTCCACATAAATGCAAAGGACAAAATTACAACAAAACTATACATTAAATGTTTTGAAGCCAAAACACATCATAGAGGTGTACCAGTTGCGTTTGATGTTTGCCCAATGCCAAATTCCATAATATTCCAATCTTATGATAGCAGCTTGTAAATAATGGAGTCTAGACCAAATTCTCACCTTGATCACAGACTGGCAGACATTCAGCAAACCCTCAGCTTTGTAGGCACCAACAAACTCTTGACTTCCCTGGCAACAGAAAAACATACTAATAACTTCATACAAACTGGAATGGTATGACTGGTGACCAGAGTTTCAGGTAATGTTGCAGTCAGGGCTCCAGATAACGGCCGTATCGGCGTATGTACGGATATAAAATAAGCATGATACGGTAGGAAATAATTTAGAAAACGTAGCAGATACACACCACAGCAATGGTGTACGGTAGTAGAATCATTTACAGATGTATTTATCTGAAAACGTATTGTTTTATTCTTTATTGACCTGTTTACACAAGAGTAGCAATGTTGTGGTGCATATATGAAACGAAACGCAAGATTACTGATACTCCATTAAATTCCATTCAGTACTCTAAGTGTACTCTTATTGTTTTCCAGTACTCCTATATAGAAAACGTAAGGAGTACGTACTTCTGATCATGAAAACTTATCTGGAAGCCTGGTTGCAGTGCAATGAAGATATTTGAGGGTCAAAGCTCCTTTCATGCATAATTCTCTCATGCATTACAACGTCAATAATGGCTACTTTATCTGTGGATATTAAAAATCTATGAAAGGATGGTTAACTTCCAAACCATAAGAACTGTTTTTCATTTCGTAGGAATCCATCAAAGTTTATCAGCATACAATACACAATTTTCTTTAATAATTTCAGATAAAAATAAACATGAATAACAAGAAGACAACATCATCAATATCCCCCATAATGGCAAAATACTCTTCATGAATATGTCTGCTAGTTATGATTATGTCAAATGTTTTGGTGTGTATATGTCAAAGTGGAAGGAGAGTATTGAAAGATTTTTAAGTTGTGCTCCAGAAAGGAGCTCTACCATCAAATTCAGTCTGAGTTGAACTTGTTGCCATGGAAACACAAAAAATATTTTATTCAGAGTTCCAAAACTATCAAAAGGCACCAATACACCACAAGACCTATCCATGTGCCAAGTTCGATGAAGAAATAGTGAACGGTTTTGGAGTATGCTACAGAAAAGATGAATATGGACGGATGCATGGAGCCCATTTAATACCCCCGCAAAACCCGTTAAACGCGTTGCAGGGGATAAAAATGCAAGCTTTGAATGAAGTGGACCTACTAATTGCCAACAATCAAACAGAAACCTGGAAAAAATATTTTCAAACTAAACTGACTAGAGTTGGAAACGAACCTGGTCAACATGTTGATGATTTCCTCTTCTCAACAGGTCTAACGTCTGCCCCAGGATTCTTAATGATTCCTGAATAATACAAGGCAGAAATGTAAATTTCAATAAGGCTGTGTCAATCCATAAAACTGAGAGGGGCTTTCTGTATGTAGGTTTCTTCTTTCAACAATATTTGTTATAATTCTCTTCTATTAAAGACAAAACCCTTAAAATTACCTCACATTCTTTCTCATTTTGCTCAGATGATGAAAAAATAGACCTACCTGTTTGTCTACTAGACTAATGTAGGCAGACACTGCCTTCACTGCCGACTCTCGTATGGGCAGCTGGGAATGGGAGATAACTCCAAACACTACTGTGAGAATATCTCGCTGTACAAATCCAGGAATAGGAGGAATCACCTGTCAAAGTGAAATTTCCTAATACATAAAGAATTTAAAATCTGTTTTATATAACACATGGAATTTTAAAGGGCAAAATGGAATTGCCACTGACAGAAGAATTCACAATGTGGGTTGAGATAATGCTGTTTGCACCAGTCTTTGATATTTCACAGTTTCAGCTTAGTGTCTAACCCTAAAGATCTAGGTTAGAATTTGTCTTCAGCAACTGATGCTGGTGGTCAGAGGTGACTAACAGGATCAAGTGGACTGGCTTGCTGACTTGGTTGACATATGTCATTGTATCCAAATTGCATAGATCGATTCTCATGATGTTGATCTCTGGATTGTCTGGTCAATACTCGACCGCCACCATAGCTGAAATATTGCTGAGTCCGGCATTAAACAAAAAAACAAACAAAAACAGCGTAGTGTCAAAGGAAAGCCTGAATGAGACTAGGGCCTAAGTCACAAGGTGTTTTCAGCACTACGATATTTGTAAGCCTATGACAAACTATAGAGTTACAAGATGTAATCTTGTGGATCAGGATCCTGGACATAGATTCTAACCAACTTGGTGTATTTAGTGTTTGCCATAGGCATAAAAAATTCCCTGGTGTCATGAGAGGGATTCATGGACATGTTTTGGGGAGTCAACTTCGGTTTGGAATTTTCATAAAGATATCAACTAAGATTGTTTAATAACGACAAAAAACAAGGTAAGGCAGGTCAGGTATAAATTTTAATCAGCACTGAGCAGTTAACTGGCAAACATTACACTAAGTACAGTCAAATCCCGATGAGTTGAATGCCGGTGTCTCGAATATTATGCATAACTCGAAGTATCTGTCGGTCCCGACCATTCCCTGTTATAGTTGTCATCATTTGATTTCCGGTTACACAAATTCGTCTCATAAATACACACGATGACTCGAGAAGAAAATTTGGTCCCATGAGATTCAAACAACAGCATCTTGTATACATAAGCCGAAGTTAATCAATGAGAAGTTAATTGGTGTAGCAAACTGATCCAATTAACAAACCAGCGCGGCTTACACCTTTCCGCCTTTGACGGGTGAGTTCAAAAGGCAGATTAGTGATTTTAGGAAAATCACTGTCTGTGCTAATCAGACTGGAACTGATAAGGTGCCCCTATTAGTGATAGGAAAATCATTAGATAAACAAATGCTTTGGCGGAGGAATTAGGATTGGATCATCTTTTTTTCTACCCTCATAGACATAGCTATGTCTCGAATACATCGATAAGTCGAATTTATTACTTGGTCCCCAGAGATTCGACTCATTGGGATTTGACTGTAGTTTTAAACAACAGAAAAATTATGGACTATACAAGTTTAGATTATCTGAACTGAGGACCCAGTAGCATTGCATCAACAGTGACGCAAGCTTCTAAATTTACTGCGCATTTGAGATAATTTTTGCATCAAATACGCAGGTTTTCTGTGTCAGGGCAAACACTGTGTATTACGAGCATGGTGCTCATAAACCAATGGTCACAACCTGGATGAAACTGGGATTGAAACACTGGGCCAGTAGAGAGAAATGTCATCCATGTCATATCACAGGACAATAAAACATGGCACTTCCTGTTACCCTGCTTTGTGTTTAGCATTATAGGAATAAAACAAGGAATGTCCGTCTCTGACTCAACAAAGACTCATCGACTCATACTGTGTCTACCCGTGAAGATCCGGGTTAGAATTAATCTTCAGTAACCCATGCCTGTCGTAAGAGGTGACTAACGGGATCAGGTGGTCAGGGTTGCTGACTTGGTTGACACATGTCATCGTCTCCCAATTGCGCAGATCAATGTTCATGCTGTTGATCCCTGGATTGTCTGGTCCAGACTCAATTATATACAGACCGCCGCCATATAGCTGTAATATTGCTGAGTGTGGCATAAAACTAAACTCACTCACTCACTCATACTGTGTCTAAGTGGGGAACATATGTTAAATAGACGCATTGTATGTATGAAACTAGCACACACACCCTTAGAAATTACAGACACTCACAGACACAAACTTTCATGAGACACTATTTAAGTACAATGATCATGTACTTATAAATTACAACCAACTCACGTCACCACGACCATAGGAGAAGAGATAAAAGTGTCAAGGGGGACAACTCTCATCAACCTTGACCAAACATGTACAAGCAGAATGGGTGATAACAGTAAGCTCACCTGGTTGGCTGTTCTGTCTGAGTGTAGATGCTGTACTATAGCAGTGATGCCTGGAAACAAACATTCAGAAAAAACATAATAACTGAAGACCAGGGGTGGAAATAACTTTAAAATTGCTAGTGTACTCCAGTACAGTGGCACATGTTAAATCACTTGCCCTGAAAATGTTTCCACTATACCGGCCGTTTTCTTGTTGGATTTTTTAAATAAACAACATAATTAACATTGGAAAGTCAACTGGACGCCGGTACAGTGTGATATACGAATTTGCTTGCCCGACAGAAAAAAACACTGGACTCGGACGTCGGGCAATGGGTTATTTCCACCCCTGGAAGACAAATCAAAGTAATCAGGGAAGTCTCCAAAAATTCTTGCAAATGCAGAAACAGTGCTTCAACATTATGTTTTAAACAACTGAAATCATTTCAACCACCAGATATTTCCAGTCTGATGCCATTACCTGGTGGAATGTATGTCCTCTACAAACTTCAGTACATTTCCCCTAGCTAGTGTAATGAAGAACCTCAATTCCTTTCCATGCTAATAATATCAACATGACTTCAAGCGTAATGACTTTACCTTCTCATTAAAATCTGATCTTTGTGCTTACTCCTGCTTCACAAAAGGCTGAACAAATACCGTTACAGTTTACATCAGGACGTTTCACAAAGTTTGTTACCAATGAAAGGAAGTGTATAGTAGCCCCACGGAGACAAGTCAAAAACTGAATACTTCCATTCCAGGCTAAAAACATCACACCTGTAATATCTGTGTTTCATCAACTACAGTCCGTTTGAGTCAGAAACGGACCGATGATTTGCAAATCAATGATGATAGTTTCTCAAACAACTTTTTTGGTGGAGTCCGGAAAATTTTCAAATATAAGAAAGCTGTTGGGTATTGGTAAATGATAAACATGTGTACTATTTATATTTATGTGGCAATTTTGTACAATGATAACATTTGCAATTCATCGGTCCGTTTCTGACTCAAACGGACTGTAGCGGTACTATATTTCGCATCTATTCTCATAGAACAAAATACAAGATACTCAGTGTAACTAATAGTTATGTCACATCAGATTTGATTTGACAAGACAAACATAGGCTAAAGCATTCACTGCTCTGGTGAAAGCCTCAACCATGGCATGGTGCTGATCATAACCATGTCAAATCTGGGAATCACTCCCACTTACTGCAAATCCTGACATGGCAAAGGGACAGAACTGTGCAGCCTTAGCAAAGTGCCCTAACAAATACATAGTTACATAATATAATGTAATCCTACCTAACATAGCACCATCTACTGCTTGCCAGGTTGTGTCTTCATCATTACAAACCTGTGGAGGAAATGTGGTTGTTGATCAGAGATGAAACAATGCAGATGATGATACCTGCATAACATGGTTATATACATCAAACCTGACAAGGCCCTTATATACCCATCCTTACAAGGCCATATACAACCATCCATACAAGGCCATATATACCAACCCTGACATGGCCATATATACCAATCCTTACAAGGCCATATATACCCATCCTTACACGGCCATATATATCCATCCTAGCAACGCCATATAAACTCACCCTTACAACGCCATATAAACTCATCCTCACAAGGCCATATATACTCATCCTTACAAGGCCATACATATCCATCCTTGCAAGGTCTCCTTACAAGGCCACATATACCCATCCTTACAAGGCCATATATACCCATCCTTACAAAGCCATATATATCCATCCTTACAAGGCCATATATATCCATCCTTAATACAAGGCCATATATACCCATCCTTACAAGGACATATATATCCATCCTTAAAACGCCATATAAACTCATCCTTTGAAGGCCGTATATATTCATCCTTAGAAGGCCATATACTCCATCATTACAAGGCCATATATATCCATCCTTGCAAGGAATATATATCCATCCTTACAAGGCCATATATATCCATCCTTGCAAGGTCTCCTTACAAGGCCATATATACCCATCCTTAAAAGGCCATATATACCCATCCTTGCAAGGCCATATATAGCCATCCTTACAAGGCCATATATACCCATCCTTACAAGGCCATATATACCCATCCTTGCAAGGTCATATATATCCATCCTTACAAGGCCATATATACCCATCCTTACAAGGCCATATATATCCATCCTTGCCAGGCCATATATACCCATCCTTACAAGGCCATATATATCCATCCTTACAAGGCCATATATATCCATCCTTACAAGGCCATATATACCCATCCTTACAAGGCCATATATACCCATCCTTACAAGGCCATATATATCCATCCTTACAACGCCATATAAACTCATCCTTACAAGGCCATATATACTCATCCTTAGAAGGCCATATAATCCCATCCTTACAAGGCCATATACAGCCATCCTTGCAAGGCAATATATATCCATCCTTACAAAGCCATATATATCCATCCTTGCAAAGTCTCCTTACAAGGCCATATATACCCATCCTTACAAGGCCATATATACCCATCCTTACAAGGCCATATATACCCATCCTTACAAGGCCATATATATATCCCATCCTTACAAGGCCATATATACCCATCCTTGCAAGGCCATATATACCCATCCTTGCAAGGCCATATATATCCCATCCTTACAAGGCCATATATACCCATCCTTACAAGGCCATATATATCCATCCTTACAAGGCCATATATATCCATCCTTACAAGGCCATATATACCCATCCTTGCAAGGCCATATATATATATACAAGGCCATCCTTACAAGGCCATATATACCCATACAAGGCCATATATATCCATCCTTACAAGGCCATATATACCCATCCTTGCAAGGCCATATATACCCATCCCTTACAAGGCCATATATACCCATCCAAGGCCATATATATCCATCCTTGGCCATATATATCCATCCTTGCAAGGCCATATATATCCATCCTTACAAGGCCATATATACCCATGCAAGGCCATATATACCCATCCCAAGGCCATATATATCCATCCTTGCAAGGCCATATATATATATCCTTGCAAGGCCATATATACCCATCCTTACAAGGCCATATATATCCATCCTTACAAGGCCATATATATATATTACCATACCCACAAGGCCATATATATCCATCCTTACAAGGCCATATATATCCATCCTTACAAGGCCATATATATCCATCCTTATCCAAGGCCATATATATACCCATCCTGCAAGGCCATATATAAGGCCATATATATACCCATCCTTACAAGATATATATATCCATCCTTGCAAGGCCATATATATACCCATCCTTACAAGGCCATATATACCCATCCTTACAAGGCCATATATACCCATCCTTATATATTACAAGGCCATCCCCATCCTTGCAAGGCAATATATACCCATCCTTGCAAGGCCATATATACCCATCCTTACAAGGCCATATATATCCATCCTTACAAGGCCATATATATCCATCCTTACAAGGCCATATATACCCATCCTTACAAGGCCATATATAACCATCCTTACAAGGCCATACACCCATCCACCATGACAAGACCATATATTCCAACCCTGACAAAGTGATATACACATTCTTTTCTAGCCACACACTCACCCTGACGAGGCTGTTCCACACCACCTCTTGATGCACATCAGACAAGCAGCCTATGATATCTCCCAGCTTGTTACAGCCGACTTTACGTATGGCTGACCAGACGTCTGTCAATGCTGCTAAGATGAAGTCCTGAAAAAGAAAGATAGCCCATTTTAGAAATTAGTCCCGAAAAAAAAAAATTGAAAAAATATTTTTCAAAGACATACAAGCCCTAAAGCCTGAACCAACATGATGAAGATCAAACGCCTATGGTACAAATTAATTTGTTTGGTTTTACACCGCTTTTAGCAATATTCCAGCAACATCACGGCTGGGGACACCAGAAATGGGCTTCACACATTGTGCCCATGTGGGGATTCGAACCCGGGTCTTCGGCATGACGAGCCAACGCTTTAACCATTAGGCTACCCCGCCGCCCCTATAAATTTAGAAATAACTTAACTCTGATCATCAATGATTGAAACAACTGGTATGAGGCCGCAAAATTGAAGGAACATAAACGAAAAAGGATAATTTGTTACCACCATTTCTGGAGAGGTGGGTGATATTCGAATAATTTCTCGCTGAGCTTATTGCCTACATTTACAAGTGGGAGAACGCCTGCTCTGTTTAACTGCTCCCCTGTCCCTTGTAGCCAGGTGAGAGTGTGGACCACCGACCTGTTCCTCACTATCGGCAGGGTTGAGGCTGCAACAAACATGTTCACAACCAATATAATAATCAGGGGTGGAAATAACCCATTGCCCGACGCCCCAGTCCAGTGTTTTTTCTGTAGGGCAAGCAAATTTGTATATCACACTGTACCGGTGTCCAGTTGACTTTCCATATTAATTATGTTGTTTATTTAATAAATCAACAAGAAAACAGCCAGTATAGTGGAAAAATTATCAGGGCAAGTGATTTTACATGTGCCACTGTACCAGAGTACACTAGCAATTTTAAAGTTATTTCCACCCCTGATAATATACAAGCTGGACAAGTTGGACAGGCCTAATGTCCAGTATGATGTACAAAATGCAAGAAAGAAAAATGAACATCAACAGGGACCAAAGGGGAACTACTCTGTCTTACACTCCCTGAACCATTTCTGCAGCGCAAAAACCATAAATGAAGCAAGTCTAGATTTTCCTCTGAATCACCCGTCTCTGGGGCTTCTTTTCAGTTTGTTGTTAACTTGTTACTTGGTTCTATCAAAAATATATTGTTCCCAAGACTAAGCCTTAATCTCAAGGGGAGCTAATGTCACACAATTTATACTAGTCAGTGTTCACGAATAGCGTCTGACCCTCTGACAAATCCAGCAGATTTGCCAACGGTCAGACAGAAGTCTACAACCCGCCGGCCCCAGTGTCTGACTGTATATTTCACAGTGACTTTGACTGAAGTTGTTATATGTGACATGTGACACTTGTTTGCTGTTTATAAATCTTATGTTTGTTAATAATTTCAATGTCAATTATAAGCAATGTTAAATCTGAAATGTTTATTTAATTTTATTCTATGGGTCCTGTGAAGTTTCAATGGGTCAGACAGACATCTGAAACTTACAGGACCCAATGTCTAGTTACTTTGAAACACCATTCGTGAACACTGTACTAGTGACATCCGATTATGGGCAAAAAGAACGATAACTAGATCCAGTAAATATTTTAGATTTGTTCCATGTGACTCACCTTCTTTGACTAGTTTCAGGAAACTCCTCAGTAACTCTGAACACACACACTGCTCGGACAGCCTGGAGAAAACATGCAAGATGGTATCAAGTAGTGTTGGGAATTGGTTAATATCTCATAATTGATGATTGGTTCATTACAACCAATCAATCATCAAAAATAATTGGTTAGCGTCATTTATGAAATTTGTTAATGCACATAAAAATAAGGGAAAAAACATGTAGTTTTGGGGGGGCTTTTGGGCAAAATTTACATCTTTAAAGGATGACTAGTATGTTAGGAACATAAATTTCTTGGTGTCTTTAAGATAAATTCAATCATGACTTGAAACGAGCTTGTAGTGCTTACAAAATGTAACAGACAAAACCAACCATGTGAAAAATATTGTTAATGAAAACAAGTGTTCCAAAATTGGTTGTGTTCGATTATGAGAAATTATGATCGATTGCTTGGTCGTTTAGTCACTACGACCAATCTTCGATTATTTCAATTAATCGGACCCCCACTAGTATCAAGGATAACTTGCATTGTTCATTTGATTAGTGGTATGCTTTTGTCCAAAACTTTATTAGAGTTATCCCCTACACCCAGAGTTATCTCCCTTCTAATGACACCAAGTTCCATCCAACATGACATGTTACCAACCTAATAACACTGGTGCCACCAGTAGACAAGGTGAAGAATCTTTAAAATACCCCTCGGATCCCAAATGTATTGACATGTATATTTGTGATGGCTCCCCAGCACAGTACTGAGTTGTGACTTCTTCTAGTAGTAGTAGTACAGTGAACACTATGAGCAGTGATCACTGCAGGGAGCTTGCTACAGATAACTGCATGCAAACAGACTTAAGTCTGTGAGATTTATTTCAACAGAGTTTAGAAGTCTCCAAGCAAATTCATAGCATCAAGGTCCAGTTTAAACATTTTTCACATATTATGAAAAGAAAAGCTATGTTATTGCAAGGCATGGTTCATAAAATTAGCAAGAATTCAAGCTTCAGTCATCATTTGTAAATCCATATGACTGCAGTCCAACACAGGCTGATTGACCGCTCATAACTACTCACTGGTTGATTCCCGAAAGGAATTTACATTACCGGTATACACACACTCTGCATTCTACCACTGCAGTGAGGTGAGGTGAAATTGGGTTTTACGTCGTGCTTGAGAATATTTCGCTCATATGACGGCGTGCATGCGTGTGTATGTGTATGTGCGGCTGCTTGTACTAGCCCAGACTTAAGCTGGTTTAATAGGGCTAGCCCACAGAGATACCATGCTGCAGTGAAGCATGAATACCCCACTCAGACACATTATACTGACTCCGAGCCGACCAGTCCTTGTTGTACCCATTAATGCCGACCACTGCAGTGAAAGATACAGAGTGCGATTGTCTTACTGAGTGTTTCCAAATATGACAATGTTTCCCCCACATTATCCTTGATTGCCAATAGTTGTACATACTATGCTATTCTATTTCTCAACAAAAAAGCACATTTTCCACTCGTCACGGTATATTTCTTCAGACTAAGAAGCTACTTGCTATTCTGAATTCACCAAATCCACAAAGGACTTGTCAAACATTGAAAGTAAGGTTGCAAATCCCACCATTCAATGATTGTATCCAACTGTGAATCCAACTGTTGTCTGTGAATTTTGGTGACAGACTTCACTTCTGGCACACCAGTCTCTACCACGATCTTTGCATCAGTCAGACTCAACCTGACCCCTTCCGACCATCCATACCTCCGCACAAATGTATATATCACAAAATTGTCAATTTCTGTTTGCGTAAGACTGAGAAGATGAGGATCACGCTTGGATGCAACATGACCAGCATCAGCTGCTTCTGTCCTGTGATTGGTCAGCGTGAAATCCTCCGTTTCTTCTGTCGGAGTAGTGAGACTTTGATACACCTGCTCCCACAATGACAGCTCTTTCTCCAGAGACGTGCACTTGAAGACCTCTGTGAAGGTACTGGACAGTACACCATTGTCTCGTGACATTTTTACTGATGTCACACTATTCTGCCTTTCTGTTGTGGATATGCTCTCCTTGTCATGTCACATCCTGTCTGAAAGTAAAAGAGTGAGTGAGTGGTTTTACGCCACTTTCTGTAGTATTCAAGCAAAATCAATAATCACTGATTGAGGGACACCAGAAATGGGCTTCACACATACCAATATGAGAAATCAAACCTGGATTTTCAGGACAAAAATTAAACATTTAACCACAAGAGAGCCAATGCTCATAGTGTACCAGCCACCTACACGTGAAGCTTGCAGACAGTCAGTGAATAGAGACATCTATAGAAAATACTTACCCATAAGCTGAAAAAAAGGAGTAATTATGCAACATGTCAAGTTTCTTAAATTTTAACTGGTCGGCTTTTGAACAAAATATGGCAATATAGTTTTTTTCTTCGTCGTGCACGTTAATGTTATCTGTGAACACAAAATACAGAAATAGCATCTCACTCATTGACAGGGCTCCAGATAAGGACTGTATCAGCGTATGTACGGATAAAAAATATGCCCCATATGGTAGGAAATAATTTAGAAAACATAGCAGATATGCACCACAGCAATGGTGTACGGTCTTAGAATCATTTACAGACGCATTTATCAGAAAAAGTATTGTTTTATCGTTTATTGTCCTGTTTACACAAAAGTAGCAATGTTGTGGTGCATATATGAAACGAAACACAAGATTATTGATATACCATGAAATTCCATTCAGTACTCTAAATGTACTGATGTTAAAAAAGTATCTGGAGCCCTGCATTGATACATTATTGTAGCATGTTGCAGCTATGTGTTAGCAACCAAGTAAATGTCTCACAGAGCCCCTGAAACAAATATATCCAAGAAAGCCCATTCAAATCTGTACTATGTGGCAAGTCTAGATTAATGCAGTTTCAAAAAATGAAAAGTCTCTTTCATTATACTTTATTGAGTTAACATAAGAAATGGTTTTCTGTAGGATGTTTTCAGTTCAGAGGCTAGATGTTAGCCAATTACACAGCTATTATGTAACAGATAAACCAGTCAAAAGGACAGCAAAGTTTTACGACGTAAAGGTTTGATATTGTGTAAGAAACATAATAAGTTACTATATGTATTATGTACCCTAAATCCAATCAGGAAATTCATTCAAGGATGATGTTTCTTTTAAAACTAGACTGACAAAATGCAGAGGCCCAGATAAGCTGCATATCCGGGTAAAATACGCATAGAAAATTTCAAATTACGCATTGAAAAATAATTGTTGCGTACCAATTACGCATTGAAAATGTTAGATACGCAAAATGTTTTAAACAATTGCGTACAAAATATATTTATAAAAAATCGCTTGTGTAATGAAAAAGACATCGATTGCTATCAAGTTGTACTGTTAGTATAGGACAAGTGTTGTATTGTCAGTATAGGATGAGTGATTTTTTTATGAAATCATTTCCATTATACTAGTATTTAAGTTGGTTTTGATTAGGTATGACGTAAGGCAGAACATACCTGCTTAGTAAACTTACTCAATGACATAATACTTAGTTGAGTAAAATGACTGGAATACGCACATATTTGAAAGCAGTGGGTAACGGAAAATGAAATACCCACTCAACATTCATAATACCCACTCCAAAAAAAATACAGTGGATACAGTACCACATTAGTCTGTCGTACAGACCCTGAAGCAAATATATCCAAGAATGCCCACGCAAGTCTAGAAAATGTGGCAAGTCTAGATTTCCTCAGCTTCTGAAAATGAAGAAAGTCTCAGGGCTCCTTTTCATTATTTTTTTTTTTTTAACTGTGAACTTTTTTCAGTAAAATATGTTCATTTCAGAGACTAGTTGTTAGTCTATACCGACATGAGCTAAATCTTATCCGGAGCTCTGAAAATGATTTATGAATATTTTTTTTCGCTTTCATTATCTTCCTTGTATCCATGACTACAGCCTCAGCAAGCCACAGCTAGGTCATTAATCATTCAAATATCCATGCACCCAGTTATAATCCAGCTACACTGGAGCAACCTGCAAATACAATCTGGAGCAGAAAATCCAGTGATTTTAAGGCCATTTTGTATGAAACCATTCAAAATTAACTAGTCTAAGGGTGCACCAAATGTACCCATTTGCATAGGTTATTGCAAATCTGTCACACCAAGGAAACCAATAGCAATGACAAGATTTGTATTTTATTACGTTACGGGTAAGGTACTACGCTTTTACACATGAACCGTAGCTGAAATGACTGACCTCAAAACATTTGTGGGACAAACTTTTATCAGGCTACTGTTACGCTGAGAGGTGTTGTTGCCACGCTAACGGCAGTGTAAACATTGGCGCAGGTTAAACATTGTAAACATATCAAAGAATCCTCAAAATATGTGTAGTGTTCTTACTGCTGTTGTCGGCTCTGTTAATACTTGGCTGTAACAAACGACATGACACAAGTTGAACGGCATATGACATTGGCCGGTGAAGAGGGAAGAGGTGCGCGATACATTTATCCACTATACGATGCAGTTTACCATTATAATCAATCGAAGCCATCCACATGTCCTAATTTCTCACATGGCCACCATAAATATTTCCGCTGACATAGCCATGATAATATGTGAGATGGCCATTCACCAAACGATGACAACTGAATGTTTTGACATCCCCGCGAAAGCAAAATATGTCATGACGTCACTGGCAATATAATCCGGACATATAAATTCGCATCGAAATGGGTAGGTTAAAAAGTAGAAATGGTAAAGAAAATGGAATAAGAAGATAAAAAGCCATGCGAATTCAGTCACGGTCTGGATATCATTAGTGCATGTGAGATGTTATATCTTGGAATTATGTTGATGAACCGCTGTCAGATTATACACTCATTAAGATTATAATAGATAGAACGTTTGCACTGTGAGCTCTTCTTTTAGACCAGCATGATAAATTACACATGCGAGATCAAATCATTTGTAATTGATAAATGAAATGAAATCAGAGTGAGTGAGTGAGTGAGTGAGTTTAGTTTTACGCCGCACTCAGCAATATTCCAGCTATATGGCGGCGGTCTGTAAATAATCGAGTCTGGACCAGACAATCCAGTGATCAACAGCATGAGCATCGATCGTAATTTCTTATGGAAAGCGTTCTTTCAGTGTTTGTGTTCCATTGCTGTGGAATGAACTGCCCCTCGCCTTAAAACTGTCCCCACCTTTTGCTACGTTCAAATCACATCTTAAAAGCATCTCTATCCACTGCACTATTAAGTCTATTCAAACATTATGATCATTTTGTAGCGCTTTGAGCACCCACTTAGTGGTTGGATTTAGCGCTATATACATTTTCATTATTATTATTATTATTATTATTATTACCTGCGCAATTGGATAACATATATAGTAATTTGTCAGCAAACAAACAACAAACGGTAAACATTTCTCGTCTCAAAAATGGTATTAGGCATCGATAAATTGCGAAAGAAACAAACGTGACGCAACGCAGATACTGCCTAGAAACCAGTCTGTGTAAAGTGAAGTTCTACTTGACAGCGCCTACGTTTATTTAAAAGAAAACGTCCAAATTAAGTCATTTGAAAACAAGTGACCCAACATTTTAGTGAAAATGACCCAAACATATTAAGAATGTTAAGATTAAAAGAAACAAAACTGACACAAAACTGACATAGCTTATAAATGTAAATGTCTTAATAGTGTCTGGTTGTAGCAACGCCAGGACTTGACTGGGAAGGATGGATTACTCACCAAAGGCTGCCCATCAGTATCCTCCACCACAGGCCCTCGTGTCTTTGCGAGGATTAATGATTTAAAAAATATTGTTTTTGAGATGACCCCCCGACTCGAAATGCTTCACAGTACAATACATTATGACAAGGCCGGACACTTCGGTACACCCCACCCGACTGCTTTGCCGATCGCTACGCTACCATCGCATGCAATCGATTAAAACTTAATGTAAACATGATCATGGATGATCGGCCTATCGATCACCACTCATGACACCTACCAATTCTTTATTGTTATTTCTGCAAGTCGATTGAAACCCAATTTTGACTCTCAACTAAACGATCTTGACACAAATGCATGGCTGACGATATATCCGCACAAAACGGGGATGTGGTCGAAGCAAGCCCTCTGGCATCACACACTTTGTTAGTGTGATGCAAGATGATTGTCAAAATTAATGGTCTCACTCTGCAGTGATTTATCAACCGTCAAAATCAAGAATAACACCCCATGTGTATGGAGCTACTGCGTTGTGCACGTGCATACCATGCGTTGTGTTTAGGGGTGGTGATAAAGAGAAACGGTGGTGCGTTCATAAGATGTCTGTCTTTTAAAAGTTTGTTAACGCTTATACTTCCTATCCAAATTGGAAGTTCAGGTTCCCCTACTTTTTGAGAGTATAATTTGGACCCTTTTATCCAATGTGGGGTCATCATTTACATGGCTTAATTTAAACATTTATAACCTGCACTGGTGAAACCCGAAACTGTAAAATGCGATTTCATATTTATACCAACCTACAGTCAATATTCTGAAGTGCAAAGAATACAAGCCTTACAGCCCGTTCAGCTTGACCTGAGCTACTCTACATATGCATGACCCGGAAGGTCAAATGGCACAAACGGCAGGTCGACTTAACTTCATTAAATAGGGGAGCAAAGAATATTCGTTCGTGCACAACATGCATGCATGGATTTGTTACAAAACAACACTTCTGAAAAAAACAATCATTTCATGTTTTAATTGAGTTGTTTATACAGTCATATGCTATCTAGTTTGGTGTACTAACTTTACAACGTACAGACGTCAGTTACTTTCACAATCCGATTCACTCTCGCTGTCACTCTCTACACCCAGTTCAATTATCACCTTTTCTATTTCATGTTCAACTGCATTATGTTTGTGGCTTCATTTTTAAAGAAAGTTAGGATATTGCTGACGATTTCTCGACACAATTGTGAAGCGGCGACCTTGTCTCGGCTGTTCGGACATGTTGACAATCAGCCGACAAAGGTGCACCCCTTCCCAATAATAGACCCAACCAGCTGTGACACGGTCATGCAATTCATTAGTATTCACTTGATCAGGTCAAGCTGAACAAGCTGAAGCTGGAGAAGCTAACGAGAAGCCATCCTCGATAATCTCCAGGCTATACGTTACGATCACTCTCCACTATACCCTGGAGATTATCGAGGATTATCGAGCTGGCTTGCAGCAAAGATTCTGATGGTCACACGGACAGATGGCTGTTTCTATCCATGTCGTGAAGTTTTATGGAGTAAGATAAAATGACGTTATCAGATCCGGTATAATTTTGTTGAAATGATGTTCCAAACCATCAATACCTAAACTCAAGCATTGTATATACTAAATAATATTGGGCAGCAGGTGCAACATATTTTGTCTGGTGCAACCAGGTTATTACCTAAATTACTGTCGGAAATAGAAAAAAAACCTTTTTCACATTTATATCCACAATTTATGTAGTTAATATGTGAAAGTGTGAAACATCTGTTAAACTAATTTCGGCCTAACTACAGTCTCAGTGGTAAGGAGATAGGAAACGTAAAAACCGGACTTTACACTGGAGAGACTTAGTGCAGAAATGAGCAATGTAGTTTTTTTCTAAGTCCAAGTCAACTTATTTGGAACAGACCTTGGCTTTATGCAAATTAGTGTGCGATGATTTTGTATTACAAATTACACTTTTCAAATGCCCATTTTGAAATTAGACTTAGTTTCATTAGATTGCTGAAGTACAAAATAATATTTTTACTTGTGAAACTCTTAAGGATGTAGCTACCATGGCGTCTCACTACCACTATAAAAACAAACACACATGGGGGTCGTCTCAAAAGCAAAACCAGGTCGGGTGTCGCAGACAATGGTTGGGGTCGGGGGATAGAGATATCAGCTAAGATAAGATTATCCTTTAGGGGAATTAAACTGGGCAAGTAACAATTTACAAATAATATCCAGTCCTGTCGATCTTCGGGTGGCCATACTACCTATATATTTTGAGACATTTAATACGATGGCTGATTTAAGCCTTTCTATGGGTATCATACTGTTTTACATATCTCAACATAAACTTTATGAAAAAAAAGACAAGTAAGATGTTTATCAATATTTGAGACATATTCAACACACAAGAAAACGCACAGAATATCTTTGAGATGGCCCCTTGTGCCTGTAGGCAGCACGTGCATTTCATGCTCGGTGTGTCGACGGTCTGTCGTCATACCTGGTCGAGCGACTAAAATGTCATCTATAGTCTGATCTATTGTTTTAGCAACTATTCGTATTTTTCTTGGTTTTGCCCGATGTTACGAGTAAACATGCTTTTCTGGATATCCTATTACGCATCCCACTGAACGCCCAGTTAGGCCGATGTGGGTTACATGTATTTCATATGCTATTTGCAATTGTGTAAATTTTAGGGATACAGAGTAACAGCTAAAAAACAGGGTTGATTCTATTTCCGACAGTACTTTAGTGTTGCACCACGTGTAATTAGGTTTCATTTCTTTAAAGAAATCTTGGTGTGATTCTCGATCATGAGCTTTCATTCGATCACCATGTTAATCAAAAGCTGCTTCTTTCATCTGAGAAATATTTGGAACATACGCCAATACTTAACCAAGGACTCTTCTGTCATCCTTGTCCTGTCTCTGGTGATGAGTAGACTGGACTATTGTAATAGTCTCCTGGCCGGTGCTACAAAATCTCAGATCTCCAGACTACAACGTGTCCAAAACATTGCTGCTAGAATTGTGTCACTGACTCCAAAATCTGATCACACATATCTCCAGTTTTGCGATCACTGCACTGGCTCCCAATTGAGCACAGAATAACCTATCAACTACGTTGTCTTGCGTTTAAGAATGGAATGGCGCCAAACTATCTGTCCAGTCTCCTCGATATCTACCAGCCCACTAAATCTCTCAGATCAGAGAACAAACGATTTCTTGTTGTCCCTCGGGTTCGGACCAAACGATTTGGCCATAGAACATTCTCTTATTCTGCTGCTACTGCCTGGAATAGCCTACCCATTGAAATTAGACTCTGTCAAGACTATTCTTCCTTTCGTTCTTATCTCAAGACCTACTTCTACAGACTCGCCTGTTCCAAATGATTCCTACCACTTTTCTGTGTTCCTAACTGTGTGCACCGCATGCATTGCGCATGGAAAGGCGCCTTATAAATGGACTATTATTATTATTATTATGTTTTACAGATTAAAGATAATATGCAGCAGAGAGGGTTCGGGTGATCCTGGCACAGTCAGGCTGGTAAGGTTCATCATCAGCTCAGGGCCCTCGCCCCCTCTACACGCAGCCCAGACAGCGAATGGGACTTCTCCCAGGAAACGCTGCCTAGTCGAACCAACCAAGAACTTTCCAGAGAATATGATGGCTCCCCAACACTACAGCCTTCTGCATTACCCAGAGTGTCAGAAGGGCTGTACTCACGGTGGAAAACCCGGGCACTCTCCTGATCTGCGCCAAGAGATCAGGAGGTACCAAACCTAGGGCACCGAGAACAATGGGGAGCCTGATGACAGTGTACTTGGGATGCAAGCGAGACATTTCAAATTATTATTATTATTATTATTTTTTTTATTATTATCATTAGTATTATTATTATAAAGAGATGGGAGGTGGGGTGGCCTCGTGGTTAAAGCGTACAATCATCATGCTGAAGACCCGGGTTCGATTCTCCATATGGGTACAATGTGAGAATTCCTCCTTGCTGGAATAATGCTAAAAGCGGCGTAAAACCATACTCACTCACTTTTAACAGAGCCATCAATTATTCCTAATTTCTCTAGGTGTCCTGTTGTAGGTGCCATTGTCTCTTCCCTCTCTGCAGTTATATGTGCAACAACTATTAACAGTAATGTCCAATATTCCACAATTTAGCAATGTTACCGTGGCAGACCACCCAGTCCACATTTGGTTTTCATTGCCCTCTACTCCAACACAGGCGCTTCCTCATTTAGTTTTCAAATCCAATTTCCGAGGATGAGTGAAAAGATAACATTTAACGATTGAGCCAACGTTCGTTTGTGGTTTTAGTAAGATATTTCGTTTCGTCTACGATTTCTGTCTTTTGTTCTTTTATGACTAATCCCGGGTTCTAACTCCGGTTTTAATATTCCGCACTGAATTACTGTGTACGAAAAACCGTTGCGTCTTCGCGCAGCACCACGTAATTAATTTTAGTGTTTTTAGAGAAACTCTTTTTTAACTGTTCGGGACAAATATATTCTGAACAATATACGTTACTGAATATTCCGGAACACCACACACAGCAGAGAAAACAAAATGGCGGGGTTTCACCAGACTCAGAACTCAGGTTTGTGGAATCTATATTTTAAAACTGTACTAAAGAAAGCTCATTTTGAGAAGTAAATGGAGTACACAAGAAAATGGACAAATGAGGAAAATATGTTACCATCACGGACTGTCGTTTTGTTACTGAGTTACTTGAAGAATTGCTGAGCGATGGTACCGCCATTTTCTCGCACATGAATTTAGCCACATGATCATCGCAGAAAATTCTCGATTCAAGACGTCACGATAGCCAGTGGTGTCGTTTGTTGTGCAAAATAAATCATTTCAATTTGATGTTAGGGACTTGACCATTAAGCAGAATTGTCTTGATTTAAGTGCGTAATAATGGAGTGGTATTTAGTAACGCCCCAAAGGGGCCCCAGCAATGTCTTTATCAGGATATAATATTCGTTCAGACTTTGACGATTAGCTTGTCAAATATGGTCCAGAATGTATAACTGCTATGGCTAAACAAACTCCTGCTCTCCGAGCACATGATACATTGAATTTGATCAAATTAGTTTAATTTAAACATGTAGAGCCAATGAGTACATTTTCTTTCTAGTCATGAAGGAAAGAGGAAATATTTGGGTTGTAATTCATGGATATATATATTGATTGTCCAAATAAGGGTCAGTGGAAATATTTGAAATTGTTTGGTTGTGTATTAAGTAATAGAAACCCAGAAACTGTGAAAATTATCATCTATTCATCAGACAAATAGGTGCCTTATAATTGATGGCATTCACTTTTGTGATATTCACTGTTGCCATGAAACAATTGAATCACACCTGGTGACAATATCATTTAGTTCATATATATTTCTATAACTGGTCAGGTGATGAGAGTAATGCTTTCCTTACTATTGAAACTAAAATAAGCAAAATCTTCCAACCAAATTTACCAATCTTATGTTTTTATCATGAGATAGGTAACCAAACAGTGAACTTTTCAATATGCACTTGTCATTATTCATCTGAACTTTTGAGGAAATTGCTCATGTTATGATAAGGCAAGGAACAGTATGAAAATATGTTTGTCATTCTTCAAAACAGCATGATTTAGAGTATTACACTAACTACAGGGAATTCAACATTCTCTCAGAATAATGTCTTTGGGGTGGGGGATATCTCAAACTCAAGGGATTGTTTTGTTATCCTACATTATAGGGGTGAAACAGTACACTGGAATATTAGTAGAACCGCAATATTTTGCCTTTGGTTTGGTATACTTTAATGCAATCCAAAAATTTGGTTTTCGTAATGTCATTTTTGAAAACTTTTAAACCTTTTCTTGTCTACAAACCAAATCATTTTTTCAAAATCTTTCAATGTTTGGCTCTTGTCAATTTTCTGCACTATGATCATATCTCATATATAATGAACCGAAAGGCCTTGTACCTCAAAACATACTGTACCGTGGTAAGAGCGTACAGTTTCACCCATACTACAGTGGACTTTAGAACAGGTCCCTCAGTAGTTTGTTATTGTATGCATCTCTTGTCAATGTCATACACACAGCAGTCAGATCATGTTTTGTTTTTTTAAAGATGCCAGATGATCATGCTCACCTGCTGGTCCATGTGCAGTCATTGCGGGGTCCATAGCCTTGTTTAAACTAAATTAAAGGCACACTATCACGCCCCACTTCTCTAAAAATTCAATATTGCATTTCTCTCATTAATACTAACATCAGCCCCCATCGAAGCTGCCATATTATTTATTCCGAAAAAATACGTATTAAGATTACAATATGAAATTAAAAACATTGAATGAATTAATGCAACGTTGCATCAAATCAACTCTCATTCCCTCTACCGACCGAACTTTATTTTAAGCGAACTCCATAGAATTATGTCCCTTGGAACGCTCTTTACAAATATCCTATAACACAACTTGTAATTGAGGCCAGTTCGGCAAACACCGACAACACCACATGCGACAGATTTTGATGTACAGAGCAATCGTTTACATTCCATATATGGCAAATGTTATCTATTTGGAAGCTGTTTGCCTCGAAGATTTAATTGTTGATTTCAGGCAAGTCATAAGGACTAATAAGTCTCACATTGTATCAATAGGAAGCTAAAAAGAGTGCATATGCCCCAATATATATATTATGGACCAACATAATGTCGAAAAAGCATGACATTGTGCCTTTAAACTTTTCGTGGTACTTTCATTATCATGTTTAGCTCATAGGTACAAATGTTACCTTCAGTATACCTCTTGCCAGAAGGATCATAATTAATTTGAAAAACTGTCCACACATATTTACTTCTTTGGATGTCATTGTATGAGTTGTTAGAGCCGAGTGCGTTTACTGAGTTGTTGAAGTTTGGAAGTCAGCCCTGTACAGCTCCCAACAAAATACTCTATGATATGGATTTATTACAATGAAAGGGTAATGAATATGCATATCAATATATTCAGAGCTCCAGATAAGATTAAGCTAATGTGGGTACTATACCCACTGTATTTTTTGGGAGTGGGTATTATGAATTTTGAGCGGGTATTTCATTTTCCGTTACCCACTGCTTTCAAATATGTGCGTATTTCACATATTTCACGTATTTCAGTCATTTTACTCACCTAAGTATTATGTCATTGAGTAAGTTTACTAAGCAGGTATGTTCTGCCTTATGTCATACCGAAGCAAAACCAACTTAAATATAATGGAAATGACTTCATAAAAAATCACTCATCCTATATGGACAGTACAACTTGATAGCAATTGATGTCTTTTTCATTACGAAAGCGATTTTTATAAATATATTCCGTATGCATTTGTTTTAAACTTTTTGCGTATCTGACATTTTAAATGCGTAATTGGTACGCAACAATTATTGTTCAATGCGTAATTGGAAATTTTCTATGCGTATTTTACCCGGATACGCAGCTTATCTGGGCCTCTGTATATCGAGTCTATAGTTTATGTATTATTTATGATATTTAGATAAATACTCACAAAATGTGTGACATGAATTGGCAATGTTGACTGTGTTAACATGGTAAAGTTATCCTTGGACTTAAAGCTTGACACGTAATGGTATTGACAAACTTTCCTGCTCATAGTAATAGCAGAGATCACACTTTTGACTCATAAATTGTCTTTTTATTTTACAAAAACAAACAAGTATCATTGTTTCAAATGTGAATTAATTTAGCAAATTAAAAACAACAAGCATGAAATTTAATACTCAGTCACATCCATTTGAAAAGAGCCTGTTAAACTTGCAATTCCACTTACCAAAATGATATATTTTCTGAAAATTTTTATTAGCAAAAGTTTGGAGAGATACCCGCCTCAAATATATCTTCTCACATGTTATTCAAAAAGGAAGGTATTTAAAAATGTCAGCCAGACAATTGGGCTGGTGGAGATTTTTTTTCAGGCAGACCGACACGAAAGTTGCCAGCCTTGGGCAGGCGCGCAGGCCGTTATTTCAATCACTGAAGCCAACCCATACGATATTATCATATTTGTTCGGAAAAAAACACTACAAACTACATGACTACAATAGCAGTACGAATTTATAAAAAATACATTATATTAAATCATCAAATAGCATACAAACCATACAATTTCAGCCACATTTTATTCAGTATCAAGCTATATGTTGATACTAGTGATTTAGGTGAGTACAATTTTAATAACAAGTTCTTCTGACAAGACTATCTATATATATTTTTTATTTAATATGAAACTTCTTTGGAAAAGTTAAAACTAATTTGGACCAAAATACTAATTTTTGCTTCAGTTTTTGGCCAAAATACTAATTGGGCTAAATAAGGGTTAGCATCTCTGTATTAGATAATGGCTTTTCAGAAATGACACTTATTTCACAACTTAATGGGATTTTATTTTATTATTATTTTTTTTTAAAGTGAACCTAACTACCTGGTATTATTTTGGATTCTGGTATGAAATTGCACTGACAATATGATGGTCACAGTGACATAACAGAGTTCATAACTCAGAATAACTGCTTATGTCGTTTTTCTTTTAAAGATGAGATCACTCAAAATCAGGGTTTTACATCGACTCACAGGCTATTGTAGGCAGTATGAGGGGCCTGTGAAGTAACGGTGTAGAGAACGCTATGTTTGCATCATTTCTTTAGAGCCTTGAATGAACCATTGATCATAAAGGACTGGTGGATGAAATGTTGCACGTAACTGCTGTGAAAGAAACAACCAAACAATTAGCACAGTCTAAATGTTTGGTTGGTACAATGAATACTATTGTGCGTCCGTCAGGATGCAGTGAAAAAAATTTTCTGCGTCTATTCTCTACATTTGTGCATACTGGCAGTGTTCACGAATAGCGTCTGACCCTCTGACAAATCCGGCAGATTTGCCAACGGTCAGACAGAAGTCTACAACCCGCAGGCCCCAGTGTCTGACTGTATATTTCACAATGACTTTGACTGAAGTTGTTTTATGTAACATGTGACACTTGTTTGCTGTTTATAAATCTTATGTTTGTTAATAATTTCAATGTCAATTACAAGAAATATTAAATCAGAAATGTGTGTTTAATTTTATTCCATGGGTCCTGTACATTTTTAATGGGTCAGACACATCTGAAACTTACAAGACCCAATGTCCTGTGACTTTGAAACACCATTCGTGAACACTGTACTGGACGAACAAAATGATGCATTAATTCTGATAATTTCATTTCAAAGAGATCCCATCGACCCACGTTAACCTAAGCAATAGAATATGCAGGTGATGAGGACACAATATGACTTATCTGTCGTACATTCATCATAAAACTTCAGTGATGCTCAAGATGATTATTAGTAATCTGTGATTGAAACCAAACTTGGAAATACATGTAACCATGGCAACATATTTGAAATGTGAGAAGTAACACTTGTTGGTTCGTTCATTCATTCATTCATTCATTCATTCATTCATTCATTCATTCATTGTTTTATTGACCGCCTCCGTAGTGTAGTGGTTGAGCGTACGCCCGGAGAGCGGAAGGTCGCGGGTTCGATCCCCGACCGTGTCA